AGACAGACAGACAGACAGACAGACAGACAGACAGACAGACAGACAGAGAGAGATAGAGATAGAGATAGAGATAGAGATAGAGATAGAGATAGATAGATAGATAGATAGATAGATAGATAGATAGATATTATTGCCAAGTACATTTGCACATACAAGGATTTTAGTGAGAGGTTAGAAAAGGCAAGCCTGTGATGTTAAAGCCACCGGTTGAACTCCAGAGACCCCCACCCTCAGGTCTACAGGCCTCCACCCTCATTTGCTCCACTCTGGGCCCCTGAGCAAGACCCTTAACCCCCACAGGTGCTCTCCCGGTGCCTATATAGATGGCAGCCCTCTGGGATTCTCAGATAAATTTCCACATTAGGGATTAATAAAGTACGGTATATGTTTTGTTTTGTTTTTATTTTGCTTTGGGGTCCCGGTGTGACACAAATACTTTAAAATTAAAAAAGTTCACATAAACAAAAAAATAAATATGTTCATTCCACACACAGGATCTAATTGGAGAGCATTAGCTGCGCATGAACTGAAACATCACGAGCGTTCACTGTACTGGCATTTTTCTGTCATGGACATTTATTTCTTTATTTTAACTATTAGATAGAAAAGCTTCTAAAATATAAGTTTTCTGTTATGGTTATGAACAGATTTTTTAAATTTTTTTTATTTTATGTTTGGTCAAAGATATAAAGAGCCCTGCAGAAAAACCAAAGAGCTGTAGATGGCAGACCCCAACCTAACAGAAGAATAATCGGTTCTGAAATGTGTACGCACATACGCGCACACTCACAAACACACATGCACACACACACACACACACACACACACCTTACATTTTGTTGGTGTGCAACTCAATATTAGCTCTTTGACTGTATCTGCTCAAACACAACTTTAAAGTTGCACCAGCACTCAATGACATGAAGACCAAACATAGACCCAAACATCCTGTCCCAACAACAACAACAACAACAACAACAACAACAGCAACAACAACAACCCAACAGCAGCAACACAGCCAGCCCTTCCCCACCTGAAACCCCACCGCTCTCCCTTCTCAACCTGTAAACTGAGTGCAGCCACACCTGTCAGGGTTCATACCTGCTTCAGGGGACTCCACCTAATTTGGGCTGGCAGCAATAAATGTGCAGGGGCAGAGGAAGGGGGAGAGCACAAGTGCACACACGCATCTTTACTCAGCAGTACAGTGGTGAGATCTTGTCAGACAGCTAGAAACGTTAACAGGTGGTGTTGCAACTTGTGGGAAAAGTTCATGATTATCAGTCGTTGCTAAAACAGACAATCGTTCTGCGAGCAAACACTTAAAACTTTATGAAAACCTGCTGCAGCTTCAAACATTTAGAAACAATGAGATTAAACTCATTGCTCTCCGTTTCTTACAGCACATTTGTTTGATTGTTGCAGGTCCTCACCTGGTACCCTTGGAAGAAGCCGAGGATGTCTTTGACCCCGGTGTTGTAGGGCAGCCCCTGCATCCTCACCAGGGCACCTGGCTGAGGCAGCACAGAGGACGCAGCGGCGACAGGATGGTGGGGCTGAGCTGCAACGGCTGCTGCCATGGCTCCGGGTGGGGCTGCAAAGTAGCCAACTGTGGAGGGAGACACCGGGGGGCTGGAGGACCAACAAAAGGAGGACACACAGAGAATATAAGTGAGAAGTAAATACAAGAGGAGCGTTTCCAGACTGTTGAAGCTGAACTGACCTGGGGTAGTAAGCTGTGTAGTTCATGTTCATGTAGAGATGTGGCTGAGGGGGGTAGTAAGCCAGAGCATGAGCGGAGCTGTGTACAGTGGTCTGAGGGGGTCTGGGAGCAGCCAGTAGAGGGGGCTGATAAAGAGCAGCCTCAGAGAGAATAGCAGGAGGAGTGGGGAAGGCAGCGTAGGCTGTGGGCGGAGAAAGACCTACAGAAAAAAAAAACATTTAAAGATAGCTTCATCAGTTTATTTGAGTCCTCAGTGAAGTCATTTATTATGAATTTAAGGTGTTTTAGAGCTGTTATGACAAACTGTAAACTTCTGATCACAACTATATTCACAAAGACTATAATGTCCTTCAAGTTGTCATCCTTTCCGTGTGGACATCCAGATCATGGCACGGACATATTTACATGCAAACAGCCTCTATGTGCTGTGGCAGTTGTGCTTTTAATGCCAACTCTATGGTGGCACAACAGAGCTGGATTAGTGGAAAATTAACAGCTTCTAATTCAATTCATCTAGTTAAACTGTAAATAAAAGAGCAAACACCGTTAAAACAATTGCTCGTTAATAAGACACCTACATCAATGTTCAATATGAAACTACCTTTTTGTTCCAGTCTAATTTCTAAAAGCAGAAATGGCAGATTTAAGCTGGAACAGAGCAAAGTGCAGTTAGGAGGGGCTTTCTGCTCGGCTGTCACACTTTTGTTGTTGTTTAGATGGTAAACAAGAAGCAGTGAAGAGTGAGGTCGCTAAATACTACGCGTTTCTACCAGCAGATGATGATCATGTGATCAGGTGAAATATTTATCTGAAAAACAGCTGTTGATTACTACAGCCAAGGTCGAAGGATTTACAAGTAATCACTCAACTATTTCAGAAAAGAAAGCAAACTGAAAACATTTTACAGACTGTTTACAGTTTCACATATGTTGAATATTTTAGTCTAGAAGAAAGCAGGAAACAAAGTAAAGGAGTTGTCTCCTAAGTGTAGATGTAAATCTTGACAGATTAATACAAGCGATACTCCGATGTCCCCCTTCACTGAAGGATTTAAACAGTGAATGTTTGCAGCTTTCGAGATTAGTGTTTTTCCGGACTGGAAGTGAACAGGGAACACAAGTAACATTTTTAGTGCAAGATATTCAAGTGGGTAGAAGTTTCACTGTGTAGATCAATGGAGACATCGTTTCTGTTTTATATATTTTTGCTTGTCTGAGGCAGAGTGACGGATCCTGGCAAGTGAAGGGAGAAATTTTATCCAGCACCAGGTGCAATGGCAGAGCTAGGGGGTGGCCAACGGTGGCGTAGGCCACCATAAATTATTCTTCGGCAACCCCAAAGGCCACCCCAATCTTTTGAGTAAACTACTTTTCAGCAATATAAAAACTTGAACGCATAGTTTCCTTAAATGATCAGAGTGGGCAGTTTGTCTATACGTATGACTGTGGCCATCTTGGATTTTCAGATGGCAACCCAATTTTTAATAAGAAACTTTCTTACACCTAGGTGCAAACACACACCAAAATGAAAGATGGTACCTTGCTTATTGTTAAAGTAATCAAGCTCACAAGACAAACAGAATTTCCAATTCCCCTCTTTTCTCCACGATGGGGGACAAAAGTATCCTTGTGATAACTAGGTACTGCTGGGGAAAATAGCAGGAGATGAGGGTAACCTACAGGGAAGCTTGCAGGGTGGAGGGGAGAGGCCACTGCGGTTCAGGGTTCCTCCCATCAGAACAATGCTCATTTCCTCCGTGGAGCACTGGAAGACCTCAACATAGCGATCCTTCATCATCTGTTTATGGCACTTTTGGGACACCAGGAACGCCTTGTCAGGTGACTTCATCTGGATGAAGGCGTCCCCCGAGGGCCGACCCTGAAAACACAGAGGAAGAAATAAAAGTTAGAAGTAGCATCACAAGTATGAACATTTCTGCCACAAGTAAAAAGATGTCAAGTTATTTTTGTGAGGAACATGATATGTTAAAAATATCAGGACAAACTACACTGTAATAACTTATTTGAAGAGATACGCGAGATGAATGGTTTGGGCAGTTTACTGTACTCATGAGCCCAACTCATCTCACCTGCTGGTTAAGGACCATGTGCACGCCGTGAGGTTTAATGTCAACTGTGTGCTCGCCCATGAAGTCCAGGATATCTTCGATGCCGGCTGTGTATGGCAGACCACGCAGGCGCACGCAGTCTCGGATGCTGCTGGACGTCGGCAGGAAGGGAGGCGTGGAGAGGACCGGCAGAGATACCATAGGTGAAGGAGGCAGCGTGGAGATCAGAGGTGTGGACATGTAACGATTCAGGACCTGACAAACACAAAGTTCATTTACCTCTTGTTAAAAAAATAATCATTGCATGAAACAAGACAAACTGGAAAACACTAGAAAAAAAAACAAAAAAACAACACACTTAAACCAGAGCCCCGGCCAATATTATCTGTAGGGCCAATGTTTTAAACTGATATAGCCCTTTGGGGACCTATCGTATCGGTGAGAATTGTCCCATTATTAGCCGATATCAGCACTTCTAATTTTCACCCTTAAAATGCTGGAACCAGCCGTAACTATATAATGCATCCAGCAGAGGGTGAGTGAAGACTACTTTCAAGTTGTTGCTCTTCACTTAAGTTTCACTTTCAGGGCAGCCGGAGCAGGGAGCAACTGTGTAACGTATTTTGCTGATCAGAGCAAGGTAAGTTTAATTTAACTGATCTGTAGAATAAAAAAAAACATCAAAAATAATAAATTCTCTTCAGTCCTTCAACCCACTTATCATTAACTACATGTCTCTCAAGTTAGCAAGCTAACGTTTAGATAACCTATCATGGACTATTGACTTGTAAAATTTTAGCCAGTACAATAAATTTAACATAGAGGTAATAAACTAACTAATATATCAGTGTTAGTAACATTATTTGTTATCCTCAATGAAATGCTTCGTTTGTCTGAAATCTTTACTTTTCAGAAAAAATAAGAAATAAATACTCAGCTGCAGTCAATACTAACTGGGCCTTCACCATACTGCATGTGACTGACTGTTGAAACAATGAACAAGGAAGGGTGTTTCTTTGTTTAATTTAAAGTAATACACTTGATAGCTTTATGGTGAATAGTGGAGGATAGAAAATGTGAACGCACGTTAGTAAGACCGTTTTTATGACCAGTGCACCACTTGTAAACCTACTGTGGAACTACGTACATAGGTGGGTCTGATTTGCTTAGCTTCGTGGTTGCCAACAGCTGGGCTAAATAAAAAAGCCCCGCTCCACTCGCTGTTTTCTTAGATTCTTGGGGGTGGACAAAGCTCAAAAATTTCTAGCCATTATATCAATTATCAGCGATCACCTTCCCCTCCCAATATCGGTATCGGAGATAGCCAAAAATTCCATATTAGTTGGGCTCTACTAAAAACAATATAAAGACGGTCTGTTTGGGTTTGCTATGACAATGATTGTAGAGAGACCAGGGAAGCAGCTGCTATAAGTTGATTTTATATCAAATAAGACCTCAGATAATCATGAACATGGGCACATCTGAGGCTAAACTAGAACACCATACTTCAAAGTTGCATTCTTCATATTTCCTTTTCTTTTATTGATTTTTTATTTACAGTTTTCAAACCTTTCTAGAAATACACAATAAATCCACAAAATCCGTTCTTTTATTTAAAGGGCCCACAGAATAACTCACCTGTTGCACCTCAGCGGCAGTACTTCGAAACAGCTCGATGTAGCGCTTCCCCAGGACCTGCTTGTGTTTCTTTAGAGCGTTCTGAGCATATTCCTCACAAGAGAAGAGCACGAAGGCGTCACCGGTGGGCCGTCCATCGGGGTACTTCACAAAGAGCAGACCCTCAGCCCCGTCTGTAACTGGGCTCTCTGGGCCGAGGAAAGTCAGCACTTCCTGTGGTGTAACAGTGAATGGCAGCCCTCGCATCCGTATGATCACCTGGTTCTCCTTAGACAAGAACTGAGCCACCTCGTTAGATGTTCCTGAAGTCACAGAGAAGTTGGTATTTCAGACACATTTTACTCACAGATGTGATATTTATCGCCTGTCGCCATAAAGTTTGTGTTCTAGCAAATATAAAAATGGCTATAACTGACAATTTCACAGATATCAAGCTAAAAGCTGGTGTGGAAATAGCCAAGACTCATCCCCAACACAATCTGAGCACTAACGGATCACACAAGAACTTTGAAACTTGGGCATGCAAGGCAACATGCATTCTTCAAGAAAGGCCAGTTTTTATGTATGCATTTTCTGACTTTATTCTATTGGTTCAGCTTCCCTGTTTCAGCTTATTTCATGGAGAGTGTGTAATTTTGTCAATTTGTTCACTGGTGTAAGTCAATTTAAACTTAACATGCATCTCATATGAAATGGTGCAAATCTTTGTTGTTAAACCAACATCTGCTGATTCCACATTTTATCCTGATTAAACACTCAGTTCTGTTGTGTTGCAGCAGTTATAAATGCTCTTTTTGGAAGGAAAAAAACAAAAAAACCTATAGTTGAAGGGGTTGAAAAGGGAAACAGACATGAAGCAGCTTACTGAGCTGACAGAAGCAGATAACCTGCTCATGGTTGTTATGAAGACAACAAATGAGGCAGCACTCTGTTCTCGGTTGTATAAAGTTGATGACTGTCCTCTCTCGATCACGCACAGTCTCACCTGCTTTGGTGTTGAACAGGAGTGCTTTAAATCCTTTTATTTTATTTTATTTAAAGTATTATAGTTTTAAATTTGTTAATGCCCTGCTGTGAAACCAGTTACAAATTGCACAAATGTCCCTTTCAAATAACAGCCAAGTCATGAAATAAAAACAGAATCTGGTTACAAGGAAAGAGGCAAGTTTGTTTGCAGGTAAAGTCGCACTGACCGCCGCCCAGCGACGTGCACAGACACAGCTCGCTGAACCAGGTCTATGTTTTCAGAAAACTATTAATCGACATCACATTACAAATCTGCATGAGGTTTTCTGTGTATATTACAAGCGATGCAGTTTATTAACAATTTGTATTTTACATAACATATTCCTTTGATTTTGTACAAGATTTTAAGCTAGAGTTAAAACTAACAAAAGATGGAAAAATATTAGGGATGCACGATATTGGATTTTTGGCCGATAACCGATATCAGTACCAACATTTTTTTCCCCTAGACCCACTTACAGAGACTACATAGCTTTCTCTGCTGTGGAATTAAAATTCTACATTATTCTGCATGGTCTTTGTCAGTTTGACCTGCTACCAAATGAAGATGTTAAAAAAGGGCTGAAAATGATGTAACACTTCAACTTGGATTATTTATTTATTCATGACATTTACTCTCTCCAACACAATGACCACACTTGAACAGTGCAAATTGGTAAATTTTCACAAATCTAAACTCAACGGTGCGTGACGTCACAACGTTGTACTGGCACTGCAGGCATCCTTGTCACAGGGTTGTCGTACAAAAACAGCACCTTTTATATTGGTGAGTTATTTTGATGGAATGGCCCATGTCCGATATTTAACTTTATTTAACTTTAATAAACTTTATTTAACTTTAACGATATTTAAATTTAACTGCAAATAAAGAATAAAGCCTCAAACTGGAAGTAATCCCATCCGGTCGTGGTAAACAAGCAATGATGTCACAAAGTAAAACAAAATAAACATGTGAAGTAAGTTTTATTTAATAATCAAGCTGATAGAAACCGAATCAATAAATCTGAATAGCTCATGGGTTTGAAGTGGATTTTTGACTTTTAAAATGTAAAAAACAACAAATCCTCTGAGTCACAATATTAACATTTCATTTCCTGAAACATTGTTGACTCACACTGCAGATTATGTGCTGTGCACTTTATTCCTATTTACTGCTTCCATTTGCATTAAAAACAATCTGTCTGATTTGTTTGTTTAAAGTCCAGCGTGCCTTCGATCTGTGATGATGTCCACTCGTCTGTGTAAAGTCCAGGGTCTGATTAGCAGCCACTGTAAGGTATCTGCTGGGAGTGTGTGTTTTCGGTCTGCTATCTTTGTCCTGCGTTACTGAGGGCTGCTGCTCAATGATCCAGAAGCCCCGAGTTGTGCCTTTGTCTTTTCACACCCCCTCTGTAACAGAACAGAGTCTGTCCTTTCACTACATGTCTGCCCCTCACTGCCCCATGGGAGTGGAACCCAACAGGTGAGCTGCTCTGAGCCCAGAGTGAGATTTCTCTCCAACTGGCCCCAGAGGGGTTGGCCTTAGGACGAGGAAGTGAGGAGGGGTTTTGGCAACGGAGGGGGGGCACGGAGGGGACGATCATTACAAAGTGTCTTTTATTTGTCTAATAATGGCCGCCAGAGAATCACTGGGGTGAGGCAAAGACACACAGGTAACAGAAGAACTACAGAGCTGCACCTTTACAGACACACAGTGTGCGCGCGCGTGCATGTGTGTGCGAGGGAAGACGGAAAGGCAAAAATAATCTGAAATCTGACCTCCAGCAATCTTGAGGAATTCCTCTCCTGTGGCTTTGTAGACCTAAAAAAACATTATTCAATCATAAGTTGCAATTTATTTCAAGGTAACACACATCTTGTGCATTCTAAATGAATATGGTTAGGCATATTAAAATATTTCAAAAGAACACAGTCAACATGTTTGAAGTTAAAGTAATAAAATAATACTTCAAATGTTTTTTAATGGGGTTCTGGAAAAAAAATTAAATATTTTATTTGTTGGTAGTCGCTTATTGAACCTCAATTTGAAGAAATAAGAGTTTGATTTTGACCAGCTTGATGAGCTAATGGCCAGTCAAAGTCAGGCCAAAACCAAAATAGACTGTAATCATATTTAAACAACACTAATATGTCAACAGTTTATGCAAATGTAATTTTATACACGTCATCTTTGCCTGAAACAATTACTCTGGTAGAAATAATACAGTATTCCTACCAGAAAAGCTCCAGCTAGTTGCTTAAAAACTGAGTAAATAACCAAATACCGTATTTGTCGCCCTATAAGTCACAAGTTTTTTTCATAATTAGCATGCCCTGCGACTTATACGCCGAAGCGACTTATTTATGGATTTTTTTCCACATATTTATAAACCAATTTTTGGCTGAGATGACCATTTTAATTTATTCTGACTGGAAATATTGAACACTACTATTTTCAGCTGCTAGATGGCATTAAGAGTAGTATGGCATGCTGTTGTATCATGTAATAGGCAAAAGTGGCTATTAATGACACAATCTGCTTGCCATAGAATGCCACAGTCGTCTGCCAGGAGCAAACGTCAAATCAGCTTAATTTCACTGCGCCGCCCAGGCGAAATGCAGCTGGTTTGACCATTGAAGTGCATTTTTTAAGTAAAAGTTAGACTGAGACACACTTTTACTATAAAGTCGAGCAAACAAATAATTGTTTTAAGGTGCTTATCTTGTTAAATTTCAAAGAAATGGACAATGAGTCGCCCTCTGCGCGTTCATGTTTCCATGTATCGGGTTTTGAAATACAGCTGATTTGACTGTCAAAGTGCATTTATTAAAGAAAAGTCAAACAGACACACTTTGGCTATAATTTCGTAATTTCAAGCAAACAATTGTTTTTAGGCGTTAATCTTTTTAAATTCTAGTTAAAGTCCTCCCGTGCACGCCCCTGGGGCCGCCATTTGGCAGCTAAATGCTTTTTGGCACACCGGCCCACATTTCCGGGTTCGGCCCACATTTCCAGGTTGTCAGTGGTGACGCATACCAAACGCGATGCGTTAGCGGTGACGCATAATAAATGCAACGTATTTATGGATCTTTTTCACTTTATTAGACATACTTGGACTGACGCGACTTATAGGGCGGTGTGACGGTACGGCGGAAAATTGGGTAATAAAAACTGACGGGTTTAAAGGTTTATAAAATGGCGTTTGCATGAGCATCTCAGAAATTCTTGAGACTGGAGAGGTTTTAGGATGACAGGAATTCCTTTTGCTCATGGCCACAATCAGATTAGCCGTTAGCGCTTCAGTGCATTCAGAATCTAAACAATTCTCATGTAACTTGTTTGTTCAGAATCGTTCTACAGAAGCCCACTTCACAAGTTTGAACTGCAATATATTAAGTGTGGGTGTTTTGGTCCATCTCTTGATGATTTATTCAATTTAGATCATTAAAAATAATAGGAGTTAAGAAATCAACACTAAAACCAACCTCAATGTATCGGCTGCCCATGTGGTGTTTGTGGCGCTCCAGAGCCAGGTCTCGATGTTCGGAGTTGATGAAACGAACCAAGGCTTCCCCATTCCTCCTCCCCTGAGCATTCAGACACAGAGCCACACCACCCCTGACACACAAGAGCACACACCTGATGCAAAAAAACTAGATTTTTTTTTAATACAAGTCTACAGTTGATTTTAAGATTAAAAAAACGTTTTTCATTTGAGCCTTTATATATACATGATTAAACTCTGTTCCGAGTTGGAAGAAACTACTTAAAAGAGTAAGAAAGACACCTACTTGGCAATATTAAGTCCTTTAAAGAAGCGAGCGATATCTTGGTCTGAGGACTGCCATGGAAGCCCTCGAGCTCTGATCACCGTCTCACTGTCCACAGGTTCTGTCTTGCTGCTGCACAAATCATGAGAAGAAAAAACATTTAGAAGATTCTAAAATGAGTGAACGAAGAGGGCAACAAATGAGCACAAATAATGCGTATTTCTGCAGATAACTGGGACTTTTGATTCTCTGTAAGGTTGAGGTAGTCGTCCTCAGCCAGCAGACAGGGGCCACTCACAGTAAGTGTTGAACAAAGTAAAACACTGTCATGGTTAAATGTCAGAGGGTTGGCAACGCGATAGGCTTAAGGCTTTCTGAGAGCTTCAGGATCTGCTGCACCGCTACGAAATATCCAGGTAAGCACTTGATGGCAAAGTTGGACTGCCTTAATAGCACACTTGTGGTTTTCATGATGCTGTAATTAATGCTCAGAGCCCAAGGTCTGAGATCTGAACCCAGCTGAAAGGAGGGGGGAGGAGGTGTCGACCTTTAAGCAACGCTGCTGGCTGACAGGTGTGGCAGCAGCACAGAAATACAAGATACTTTAAGTACGAAAACATTTCTACACACCATGTGCCCGAGTCAAACTTGCACATCACCGTTTCCATGCAGGAGAATTTGTGACCTGAAAAACAACAAAACACCATTTAAACGTGTTCTTGGACGACTGGGTTTGAAAACAATGTTTTATTTGTTTCGTGTAACGTAGCGGTTGGCAGAGTAGCTTTTGAACCCTCTGCATTCCTGCAACTAATCACACCCACAGACAAACTTGGCTGCTATTAAGAGGGTAAAGCCCGAGGGGATGGTCGAGTTGGAACACTTTGGATTAAAGTTAGATTTTTTTTAGCACAGTAACACACCTAGCTTGAGTTTACATCTGTCCATGCAGCCAGATAATGTCTAGCAGAGTAATAATAAAGTATTGATTTTTCTGCAGCACACTATTAATAAGCAATACATTATTTATTCAGTGTTATTTGTGTGAACAGAAAGAATATTCCAGTTTTCAAGCATGAGAAAAGATTTTGATAGAGCAGTCACAGCGCTCATTTATTACTGCAGGATACAACAGAGGGTCACTGTACAGCTCTTTAACTCGACCGCTCTCATTTCAGACTTTAGGATGAGCGACTAACTGCAATGGAAAATGTAAACCATTTCATTAGGTTACTTACTGTAGGGCTCAGCCAAGAGGCAGAGCATCAGCTGCACCATGCTCCTCACCTCCCTCACCCCTATCATCTGCTCCGACACAGCGGGGAGACCAACATCTGCACACACATTAAGGCTGACCACTGTTGGTCATTATTCTGATTTTCTATAACCTTTCATTATATGTTACTGGGAAACTCACGAGCCTACAATTTGTGGATTAGAAGATTTGAAGTGAACTGGTAAATAAATGCTTCAGTGGTGCATATTTTAAACACATTTCTGATGGTACAGCAGCGTGAAAGGATACAATCCAACATGGAGGTGAGTGCGAGCTTCTGCACAGGGCCTGCGTTCGGGCAGCATTTGTGAAACTCTTTCCTCATGTCGAAAAATGAAAAGAAACATTCAGGTAGCACCAGATTCTGGACAGGAAGACATAAAAATAAAATTAGTAAGTGTGAACTTTAAAGATACAAACTCAGGATCTAATGGGAAGATGATGAACAAAAGATTTTTTCAAAACAGAAGCGCAAAAAGGAAACAAAAAAATGTTTTTCCAAAGTCCGACCGAATTCAACAAATCCATTTTTAGATCTTAAACAGTACTAAATAAAAACAAATTATAAATGATGTTGCACTATTATGAACCTAACAGAAATTGATATTTCATGGAAGTGCACCGAAAAATGTTACATAAAACATGTTTAAATATATTTTTATTTTTGTTTTGAACCTAATGAGCAGAAGACAAACACCGTTTGTAGTTTAAAAACTAAATGACCTTTTTGGAGGCTTCTGGGTGGAGGGCCTGTCGAACGACAAGTGGACTGTTCACCAAGAGAGTGCAAGAACTTCTGCCGAGACATTTTACTTCAGATGACACAGACTGCTGAAACTGTTAAAAAAATTAAAAATAAAGAAAGAGGGAGACATGTGTAAATATGGAAATGTTATTCATATTCATTACAAAATTCCATAAATATAATCCTATAAACAATGTCAATGAGGAAAATAAAATACAAGGAATAAAAGATTATATATCACTTTTATTTAAGAAAACATTCTGTAGCTGAATATTGAGGTGTAGTATTAGGCCTGTCACAATAAACAATAAATCAATTAATCGCAGGATGAATTAAAATGAAGTTGATAATTTTCATTAATCAGCTTTTTTGTTTCTTCGTGTCGCTCTCTCTTTCTACTGAAGACAATGGATGACAAAAAGGCTCAACTCTGGTGCTCATTACTGACTCTTCCCTTTCTCTTTTTTTCCTCTTTTCTTTAAAATTTGTTAATGATTTGAAAAAATTGCAAAATTGCGTTTTTGGATCGTTAAAAGCAGCTAAGCTGAGAAACTAAGCTACGGGCTAAGCTAACAGGTTGACCTCAGTGGAAAAAAAAAACTCTGTCTTGTCGAAGCTCCAAAATTCACGGTTGAAACCCGTGCCTTCGTGTAAAAAGTTGTTTTTCTCTGCAAAAAGAAGCTGAGAACTTGTTTACTGATTTTTTTTATTAAAAGCTTTGTGTGAAAAATGCTAAAATTAAGAGATCAAACCACATCGAGCATCTGCCATTTTGAGAACTGAAAAAAAGGAAGGAGAGACAGCCCATGTCACGACAAGGGGCCTCAATACCATTTTCTTGGGAGACACTGCTCGCTCCCTCACTATCCATCCTTCGGTTCAAACAGTCTTATACTGCCATCCAGAGGTTAAAAAAAAAAAAAAAAAAGGTACAACAAAACAAAAACAAATTACCAACATTTCTTCTTAAATTTGACAATAATTACCAATTATTGTCAAATTTCAAACAATATTATCGTTTAGCACAATAATTTCTGAGACAATTAATCGCCCAGCAAAATTTGTTATCATGACAGGCCTATGTAGTAGAGTCACAGAGTAAATGTGGATTTAAGGACAAACAAGTGAAAGTAGTGTTTTGTTTGACATTTCACTGTTTCTCGTCAGGAACCGGGCATGTCTAACAGGTTTTAGTGTTTGTCCTGTGAAGGAGGAAAACAACAAAAGAAAGGAATGATTACACCACCAACAACTGGGATCACAGATTCTCTTTACATGAGAGCAAAACCTAACCCATACAAGTCTGACTGGCTTCAGCCAGGCCTAAATACCAGCCTCTGTCACACATTCATGTTCAAAACATGTTCAAGCAGCCCAGCTGCTCCTGCTCCGCCAACTTAATGTTGAACGGCTGACTGAGATCATGTCTCCACTGTTAAAACATCAACGTGAACAAGATGTTTAAAACTTGTTGTGAGGACATTTGACAAATCAAAGATAAGATGTTTTTTGAGTAAAAATTTGTTCTGGCTGAATCTGAAGACATTACAAAAGATATTTGATGAATCTATTTAGGCTGTATTTATTCACATACAGTACAACCTGGATGTGGAAAAGCAACACAGATCACTACATTTTATCTGAAACTTCTTGTAAGGTCCTCAACACAGTGGGATGTAAGACTTCAGTAAGCATTTTAAAAAGATCAATTTTACCCATTTTCTTCTCAGAAACACTGAAAGAACCTGTGGACCATCTGGATATGATGAGACCACCTTAAACTCTGATACCGACTGGTTCAAATGGCCGCTGGTGCTCTGACAGGCCTTCAGACGGAGTATTAAAGCTACATGTTGAGGCACGCTCCAGACATTTGACAGCACCAACCATCCAACAATGGAGAAAATAAAGTTTCAGCATTTAGAAGAAAATGAGGTTTAGGATGACTTGATAAAACTTGCAAATGAAAGACAGGAAAAAAATGAACCGCCCGTTTATTTCCAGCTGGTGCTATAAACAGAAAACTACTTTCAAATTGTATTTGTGTAAAATAATTTAAATGCTGCCTTTCTTGAATCATAAAATATCCTAATAAATTCCACAATTTAACAAAGTTAAGTCAAGTCCTCTGGGCAGATTCAAAAAATAAAAAAAAACTTGTTGAAACGTTTCATCTTTTATCCAAAATACTTCTTCAGTCTTTGAGTCGTTGCACTAAACTCAGTCTTATAAGTAGCACCTTCTCATTGTGGATCAACCAGTTTGTTGTTGACAGCCAGAACTAGTTGTTCAACTGATAAAGGAGGACCATCAGCCGAACAATTGGTTAGCGCCCTGATGGCCGCTTGCTATTCACAGAGGGCTGAGTGATATTATCAGTAACAGCATTCGTCAAGGTGCATGCTCAGCCATCCACATAAAAAAAATCCCAACAATGTTCACTCAGGTCATCTGGACAGTTGCTTTTTTTGTTGAGAGACGTATCACCCTCCATCCGAAGGGCTTCATCAATCTGAGAAGTGACAAACAAACTGTTTTCCCCACTATGCAGTGCACTCCTACAGTGGACCAACCAGTCTGCTGGTAACAACATTGTAAGAGGGGGACAGTTGAACACGGAGGCCTCCACCCGTTTAATGGACGGGTTCTTTACACAAAGATGGCTTCCTTCACTCCTCTATCAAAAACATTCCACTCTATCAAAGATGGGAACATCTTCATCCCTATGATCCACTATGAGAAGGTGCCATTTATAAGACTGAGTTTAGTGCAGCTCCCCAGACTGAAGATGAGACGAAACATTATTTTTTGAATCCGTCCAGAGGACCAGACTTAACTTCGTTTTATTTTTCTACCTGGATTATTGAGCATGCATCAGGAAAGTTCCACAATGTTCTAAAACATCTTAGATGTGACTGTGTTTCAGAGAAAAACAAGATGTGAAGAGGACACGAGAGGTGCTGTCAACCTGTGGTACAAATACAAGCTCAAGAGCTCATCAACAACGTCTGCATGGTCCGAATGTGAAATTGACTTGGTATGAGGACACCAGAACCACCGAGGGGAACAAAACTTCTGCACTGTTTTTTTTTATTACCACCCCAACAAACTGAGTAAGTCGACTTCTGTTAATACTGCAAACAACCCAGAAAATAAATAAATAATAAAGCAAACCAGTAAACAAGCTTTAAAAATTATGGGAAACAAGAAAACCACCTCTGAAAATTAGATTTATTTTTTAGCAAGGCCAGTTTCTTTAATTCAAAATGCAGTTCCTAGTTTTGAATTCCCCGTTTTGGTATTTATGTTAAGTTTCTGCACGAGGCCACAAAAAGTACTTTTTTTTTTTAAAGTCAGCTACACGTTCATTTTAATTCATGTGCATTTTATTGTACAAACAGTAAATACTGAAATCCAAAACTACGATACTGCAAAAGTTTTATAGATTAACACACTTGAAGCTCAGCCATACAGCCCAATTCCATTATTTACAGTGATAACAGGCCTGGTGTTTGCTCATAGCTGTACATACAACTCCACCTTGGACTATTACTAAAGCTAGATTTCTGAGAAAAGCCTGTGTTAAAGAAGAGGGTGGGGACGCTTCTTCTCCTTTTCTCTTCAGCATCAAAACACACAAACTATGCAAACAAGCTGAACAGAAGACAAATCCATCATTGAAAACCAGATCCAGGAAACTTTAGAAATTAATTAAATAATAGACCACCTTAAACTGGCAACGCTATTTTCAATGACCATGTGAAAAAAAGTAATCTCTTCAACAGAAAAGGACACGTTGTGTAATATATGAAGTACAAAATGGTGAAACTCTGAGTCCTGCTGTCAAAATGATGCACATCATGAGAAAAAAAAACTAAACTTGAAATTTGGTGATTTCTTTACACATCAGCATTTCATGTCACAACCTCCATCACAGTTTCAGTATGATCACACGACAGTTTCATCAAACACAATGGCGCTCGCTCCCTCTGAAGGGCATTTCCAGAGACAAGGGGGAGGAAGTGGCCTTTGCTCATGGTTCTATCAAAGTGTGCTTCAGTGGAGCTGGATTAGTTGTGTGCAGAGGTGAGGTAAGGTGGTGGTGGCTCAAACAAACTGCGATAAGAGAAGCAGGGAGTGTTCAGGCAATCCATGAGGGCAACTGTTTATACACACGCCTGCACCACAGTGCAGTTTCTGACAGCGTGTTCGACTGGATCATTGTGGTGTAGTAACTGTTTTGTTCCTGAATGTTTCAATAGTTGCTTTTGTTTTGATCATAGCGGTCTTTAAAAAGACACTGCTGTTGAAATATGGCTGCCTTTGCATCTGACAACTAAAGCCAATAGTCTACCTGCAATGAAAACCAAATCCAGTAATCAACATCTCGGGCTAAGATCCAAAACTGTGAAACATTTGGATGCAAGAGCATAAACCCAACATTTCACAACAACGTCTATAAAATCTAAGATAACATGCAATTCTTCACAAGCGGTGACACGCTGTCAATGGCTCAACTAAAGACAAACCTATAACTCAGACAGTCAACAGAAAAAACACCTGTCCACTCTGAACAAATACAAGGAACTACAACTACGACAGAGAAACAAAGTATCTTTTTGAATGCGAGATCTCTTATGTACATTAAAATTTGCACATTATTATTATTTTTATAATCCAACCATTCGTCATCTTTACCTGCTTTTCCTTTCCAGGTTGCTATTTTTAAATGCAACACAAGCAGCATGATTTAGTAGTACTTTTCATTTTAAGAAACAGATTCTCACATGAAATTCAATTTTAAAAAGTAGGGTCTGCCATACCTTTAATGCACTAAAACAAAAAAATAATTGCTGTAAAAACTTGATTTTGTTCTTTAAAATGAAAAGACATGCACACTGGATCTTTGTGACACACCAACCTGATCTGATAATTGTGGGAAAATAAACAGAAGGTACTGAACATTTATTGGAGAGTATCCTAAAACCTAAATCAGCTGTTTTTACACATGCACAAAATGCACAAGATTTTGCAAAGCATTTCAATGTTAGATGGACCATTAAAAAATAAAAATGTTTGGAATATAACAAAAACAAAAAGGTTTATTTTGTTGTTCCAGATCTTAGATGTACAAGTTGTTTCCTTGTATTAATAAAAAGGTTGGTGCGAAGAGGAACCACGTCTAAAATAAAGAACTATGAGATTTATATTCCTAAATGACATTGTTGTGCAGCACTACCAAGAACAAGGATCAATTTATTTTCTTCATTGTATCAACAAGGATAAACTAATCTTAGAAGGACCAATAGTGAGGGAAAGTTACCAGTCACACAAAGGTATGAAAAGGACAAACTGATAGCTTGGGTTAATATTTGAAGGTTCAGCCCACAGTCTAACCTAAAGTGGCTGAAGCCTTACTCCATCTGCGAATGAGACTGAGTAATCCCAGGAAGTTCTCAGTTTTGAACATTACATTTTTTGTATAAATAATTTAAAAATTAACAAGATCATCCAAACAGACGTGTTAACGCATGCACCATATTCAATAATTTTCCCGATGAAAATGAAACCTTAACATTACAAAGGTTAAAAAGTGTACTTAATGCAAATATTCTGACCATGGTGGCTGAAAAACATGTTTGGCAACATAAACTCATGAAGACACACCTCCTGACAGAGGGAACCAGGAAAACAAACGTTCATGCTCAATAATCCAGGTAAAAAAAACTCCAACAAAGTTAAGTCAGGTCCTTTGGATGGTTTCTTCCAGAAACCATCTTATCGCCATCAAACTGGTTGACCCACTATGTGAAGGTGCCATTTATAAGACTGAGTTTGTTGTGGCTCCTCGGACTGATGAAGTCTTTTGGATGAAAGATGAAACATTTCAACAACCAAAAAACGTCCAGAGGATCTGACTGAACAGTTGTCACCAGGTGCTAATATATCTAAAAGGTCTTTGCCTTGGTGCTAATTTATAGAGCGCTCTTATTTTAAAGAGGTGCCCAAAGAGTCAAAAAGCAACAAAACTACTTGCCAAATATTAGCTGAAGCAAGTATCTTTAAATTAGTAGTAGCATGAATGAAAAATTTCTGCATAGGGGTTGCCACAAAAGACAAGAATGAAGAATTTGGTTAAAAGTTGGGATTGTGAAACACATTTAAAGACAGAGTCACTGACACAGCTACCCCAATTTGTTTTATTCTGGGTCTTTATTACGGCTGCACAACATTTGTTGTCATCATATAACATGTAACATCATAAACCTTATATTTCAAGTAGAATGCTAAGATTATACTTGGTCAGTCAGTCCAACAGACTCACAGGCCTTGATGCCCACGCCTGGTTTAGATGATGGTGAAACCAAAGAAAGTGAGGAAAACATGGATTTACAGCAATGATATAGTCATGGTTAAATTAAACAATAAGATCACAGATCGCAAGTTTATCTAATATTGTCCAGAAACTGTCCTAGAAACTGTCCAGATGACCTGACTGAAAAATTTTGGATTTTATACCTGGATTATTGAGCATGGACTTTGTTGTTTTTATCTAATATTGTGCAGCTCTAGTCCCTTAGAGGCATTTTAAACAACCACCATGAATTGATTCACATCTTCCTTGTCACAGTTAAAAGAATTGTCCATCAGGTAAAGGAATAAGTCACAATTAAATTGTATAACTACAAATAATCATATTAAAAAATATAAGTTTAATTTTATTTGGACAGTAATCACTGGATGTACAACCTTTGGAGTCAACCTGATTCAGAACGTTGTTTTTTTTTTACAGCACTCTTTACAAAACTCACTAATCAACTACAGCAAGCAAAAATATCAGTGACTCAATATTACAGGTATTGCACTAAAATTTATTGTGGTAGTAGCTTGGACTCATCTCTGTCTGAGCCTAAAAATAAAAATAAATTTAAAAAATCACGCAAGATCTCGGTTTGAACTTTGGCATTCAAAGTGGTGGACAAAACAATATCTTTACGTATAAATGTTTCTGTGCAAGATGTGACTTGTGCATAAAACATGCCAAGAACGCTCACAACAAATTTTACAATTACGTTTTATCAAACAATTAGTGCCTCATCATTAAACCTTTTACTTGTATTTGCCTCAGTTTTAGCACCAGATTTGGGGAAATGGTCGTAAAGGAAGTATCTCACTGGGTAGTGACAGGACACAAGACACCCCCACGATAGGTGAAAACCTACAAAGCAGAGACTAATTATATATATATATATGCACACAATTTTTTTTAATTAAGACTTTATAAACCCTTCCCACACTCTTGCTATGTTGGCATGTTAGCATGCTAACATGTTAGCATGCTAACGTTCTTTATAATGTTCTAAACTCCCTGAACGCCCTAAAAGAGCACAGCGAAAGAGGGCAGACAGATTGATGCTACGGTTACTTAGCCAATCAACACCCGGGGGCAGACTGGCCATCGGGAGCACCTTTCCTGGTTCGGGAAATGTCTCTGCTTGGTTCAGCTCAGTTTGGGTTAAGGCTCAGTTCGGGTCGCACTTGATTACCAGTATTTTAAATAAACAATTCATGCCACTCACTCTGGTATCTACCTCACTGAAGCTCCCACAGCAACGACTGGGAAAGACAGATCCCACCCCTGCTCCCTCCTTTCTCTTTCTGAGGCTGACACCCTCAGAAAGAGAAAGGAGGGAGGCTATGATTCGGCAATCACTGAGCAGTCAAGCCACCGGGAAACAATGTGTGCTCAATTTTACATTGAAAATCCGCAAAAGTGTGAGTCCGCGAAAGTTGAATCGTGAAGTATTGAGGAACTCCTGTAACATTCGCTAGGAAGTCTAGAACATCTGTCAATGTTCAATGGGTGCTCTCAGTTTCCTCGTGCGAGTTGCTTAAATTTTGAACATGCCAGAAAAATGTATGCAATGAATTTTCACTTAAAATACTCAAGAGTGTTTGGCAGGTGTCTGGAACCCATCTCAAGATCGCTTGAGCTGTACTTTGACCGATGCATGGGATCTCTGCTCTGACAGAAGACATATCTAGATCTTAAAAAAAAACATACCAATGATAAATAATTATTGAAGATGGAGTCAAGTCTGGATACAAAGTGAGATGGGTATGAAATGGGTGAATATAGTTTGGCAAATTATGGACATAAAAAAAAAAACAGTTTTAAAAACTCCAAAAAAGTTCAATCTGGTCCTCTGGACATTTAAAAAAAAAAAAAAAAAAAA